GAGCGGGCGCCGGGATGGGGCACCGCCACCGCCCCCTCTCCCAATCTCTCCCCTTCTGAGAGTCCCGGTGGGCAACCTCCCGCCCCCGCAGGACCCCGGGATCTGGATGAGGGAGGGGCCCCTGGCCTCACCTAGTTTGGGGCGGGTCCGGGATCTGGGGAGTGAGTGTCCCTCTCTCTGCTCCCTGGGGTCTGACCTCGACCACCATCTCCTGGGGTGTCCCCCGCGGGTTTCTGCGGCCCAGGGTGACCCCGCCCTTGCTCTCCCGCAGGTGTTCCACGTGTCCATAGCATTTGCGTCACAATGACCTGGGCGACAGGTGGGAGCCTGGGCGAAGGGTTCCCACTGTGTCCAGTGTAGGGCTTGCTACTTGCTTCCACTATAGACGTCTGTGGCTTTAGGGGGGCAGGAGACTTCAGGATTTCAATGCCAAGAAAAGTTACAGAGGCCTGTACCTGTGAACCAAGTTTGGGCTTAAAGGAAAAAGGCTGTGTGAAAAAAACTGTGTGTATGCATAGGTATATAATGTTTTCATTCCCATTTAGCCACATAGCTCTTAAACTTGTTATTGATGCTGATAGTAATTTCATCCTCTCTTATCCTTTGTCATCAGGAAAGAACCAAACCCTGTGTTTGAGTACCCTGCAGGGATCACCTGACGAAAAAGTGCTGGAATAGGTACTTCCCAAAATTATCAATGCTGAAAAGCAATCTCAGTGTGCTATGACTCAATGCCTGGTTATGTTATATATGTGTTAAAAAGTTTATTGAGTAGTCATCGATTTAAGCAATTTAACTGGATGGAATGACAGATGGTTACTGAATAAAGATGCAAACAAATCTGAAATCCTTCTAACACGAATAGGCTGTTCATGCCAGGCACATGCTGTGTACTTTACATTTAATCCTTAGAGCAACCCACTACTGTAGGTAAAGTTATTATTCCTGTTTCACAAATGAAAACTCTGACTGCCCAGAGTGCCATAAAGGCCCTCAGCGAATAGGAGATTGAATAGGAGTTTGACTCCAGGGTTGTCTGAACCAAGAGCATTAGCTTCATCTCAAGAGAGAAAGGTGGCTGGCCAAAATGGACAGTGAAAATGTATAGGAGAAGATGCTGTCATTTTAGTAGAAAAGCAAGATAGTACAGGTCCTGAAATGTATGTAACCTTTAAAGTTGACTTTATTCTTTGGATATATTCCTATGTAGATAGGTTTGAGCCTGTCTCAGTATGGCACAAAATATTTAGCTGAGCAAACATCAAGTCTTTAATAAATGTTTATGAATAAACAAATAATATTGCCTACAAAATAGCAAATTGTTGAAAATCTGAGAGTCAGGAGAAGTTTGGGGAGAGAAAAACATTGCTCCTATATTTGGTTTTTATAAGAAGCATTCAAACTGACCTGTTAACAACACAAGCTAAATGATTTTCCTTTTTGTAAGAAGGAAAAGGGGGGGGGAGGGATTAAAAGCAAAATGTACTCAGATGGTCTTTCTGCATGTATAAATGATTTTCTTAAAATGAGAGAAAAAAGGCTTCCTTGCAAAAGAAAGATTATTAAGATATTTTATTTTAAAATATTTTATTCCAAGAGCCATTAACTTATGTGTAACACCTATTAGGAGTTTGAAAAATAGAGATTAGGCCCCACCAGTGTGACTCAGTTGGTTGGGCATGGTCCCGCGCACCAAAAAGGTTGCCTGTTTGATTCAGGTCAGGGCACAAGCCTGGGTTTCGGGTTCCATCCCTTATAGGGGGCGTGCAGTAGGCAACTGATCGATGTTTCTCTCACATTGATATTTTGCTCTCTCTCCCTTTCATTTCCTCTCTCTCTCTCAAAATCAATTTTAAAATCTTTAAAAATAAAAGAAGAGATTATAGTTTTTTAACAGAATGGATTTTTTTAAACATAGTTGGTGCTCAACAAATGTTGGCTGAATATATTAATCAGTTAATTAAGATATTGAGAGAGAAATAGATCATAAAATTTCCTGACTATAATGTTCTCCTCTCCACCAGTGCTGATTTACTAGTTACAGGGAAAAGTATTAGAAACTCTATCAAAGACTGGCTTTGTGATATTTACATTTGTTACAAGAGGTGCAGTAGAATGGCAGGTTGTGTGTGTGTTCACAGTATCCCCACAAAATACAGCTACTTGAAACACATGCATTAGGGGAAGTGGGCTAAAAAGCTGATTTATATAACTGACGACTCAGGTTTCCTTTTACTTCTCCAAAGATCAAGGCGAAAACCTGAGCTATGAGTCTAACCTGCCAAGGAGGCTCAAAGTGGCTTCCCAAACCATGTCTACAGGTGAATAATATGGGATACAGCACTACCTGGTCAACATCGCACTGAAATTCCTTAGGCTCCCAGAGAGTTTAAGATAAAGCTTGACATGACTTTTCATCGTTATTAATGCTGTCCTAAAATTTAGGACAATATTTGAGGAAGAAAATAGTAGTAAGTTCATGCTTGTTCTACATCAGCCACAATGAGTGCTTTTCTTCCCATTTAAAACATTGCTCCACTTATAACACTTCCATTTGTTTCTGGGTATCAAGTTTTCTCATTGGCATAGAGCACCCACAAGATGCCAAGCAGAGCTGAAACAATGTCTAAGAAGAGAATGGCTATTGAATGATAGGATATGAAGTTAAGAAGGAAATAACATACATTTTCCAGAGTGGAACAGGATGACAAAGAAACTTCTCCACAAAAAAAATCCTTACATTTCAATTCAGTGGTGGCTGTTTTTTGTTGTTTGTTTGTTTTTGATGGCTTCCCAGGTTCAAGATATGCTAAGAGGACCACATGAATGAGGAATTCTGTCAGGTTGCCATTAACAGAGACCCAGAATAGTAGTGGATTAAATGAGTTAAAGGTTTATTTTATTGCACATTAAAAATGATTTAAAATGATAATAAATTTAAAAAATTAAAAATGGATTGGGGAGAGTAATTGGGAAGTAGGCAGTCCAGAACTTGTATGATCTCCACTAAGTTATCAGGGTGTAACCCTATTCTTCCTTTCCACCATTCTTAGCAAAGTAATATTGCTTAACGGTAAATCCAGGTGAGGATGTGAAGTAGGAACCTTCATGCATTGCTGATGGGAATGGAAAAGAAGGAAAATGGTCTGGAAGTTCCTCAAACTCGATCCCCAGTAGGGGGCATGCAGGTGGCAGCCTGTTGATGTTTCTGTCTCTCTCTCCCTCTCCTTAACTCTCTTTAAAATCAATAAAAACAAAGGTAATTTAATAGAGAAATGATAGGTTTTCCAACAAATGGTGCTGGAACAACTGGACCTCCACATGCCCCAAAATACATCTAGACATAGACCTTACAACTTTCATAAAAATTGACTCAAAATGGATTATAGACCTAAGTGTAAAACTATAAAACTTGGAAGATAACATAGGAGAAAATTTAGGTAATCTTGGGTTTGGTGACGATTCTTTTGATACTGCATCAAAGGCACAACCTATGAAAATAAAGGATAATGGAACGTTATTAAAAATAAATTTTTCTGTTCTGCAAAAGACACTGTCAAGATCAGCCACAGACTAGGAGAAGATGTTTTCAAAAAACATCTGATAAAATATACAAAACATTTAAAATATACAAATAAATCTTAAAACTCAACAATCAGAAAATGAACAACCCAATTAATACATAGGCAAAAACTGACAGACTTAAATAATAAAGATATTCTTCTCATAATATCTTTAATCTCTTCATAATCTCATAATATCTTCATAAACCAAGAAGTTTAGACAAAGACAAAGATAGTTCTAGGGATAGTTTATTAGCTCAACTACATGATAATGCCTTCATCAGCTCTTTTCAATTCTTTGGGTCTTTTCCTTGATGACAAGATGGCTGTAGCAGCTCTGTCCAGACAGTTTTTAAGGCCTCTGTGAGCATCCCAGTCAGGGAAGAAGGGGGCAACTACTTTCTCCTTGGGAGGGCCTGATTTTAGCCTCCAAGGGAAGCTTCAGCTGACTTCTCCTTAGATCTGATTGGCCAAGTCTCTGATGGCTTATTAAAGTAAAATTACCTTGATTCATTTCCTAGCTGTCCTTAAATCAATGGATCTGTGCCAATTTTCTGAGGTTCTGTT